ACTAAATTGATGTCATTGCTTACATCATTTAAGTAATGATGTCATTGCTTACATCAATTTAGTTAGGTGAGAGTTAGGTATTTGTTGAATTTGTAATGGTTTAAATTAGTTTATTTGTGTGGTGTAGGATTGTTCTTGAGTAGTATAAATACCCCTCCCCATTTTAGTTTTAAGCATCAAGAAAATTAAGAGCTTCTAAGTGAGTGAAGAAGCAAAGTCTTATAGGAGTGAGTTGTAGTTCTTGGTTTTGAGTGAGAGTGCTCTTGTAATATTTGTTTGAGTTTCAATAAAAGTTGTTTGTGTGAGTGTTTCATTTCCAACAAATTGGCATCAGAGCGGGTTGGAAAGATCGAAGGTCTCGACGAGAGAAATCCGACGTCGCCAGAATTTTCTCAATCTGAGTTATGGCGCACCGCCACGCACCGCCGGAAGTCTGCTGCCAGAAAATCGAGTTGAATCACCGAGTTGAGCCGAGTCAGTTGAGTTGGAGCCCCTTGACCGAGTTGTCCAAGTCCCTCCCAAGGTTTTTCGGCGTTTCGGATTCATCCGTACAATCGGATTTTTACAAAATCTCATTATATTGATAGATATGGCAAATGGTATGGCACCATTCCAAGTTCCGACACTCAACAAACAACAACTACGATAATTGAAGTATCAAAATGAAAACACTTCTTGGATCACAAGATGTGTGGGATATCATAGAGAAAGGCTATAACGAGATTGTGGATGATGTTGTTTTTTCTACTCTTACACCAGATCAAAAGACAACTTTGAAGGATTTAAGAAAGAGAGACAAAAAGGCTCTCTACCTCATCTATCAAGCATTAGATGATGATGGTTTTGAAAAGATTTCAAGTGAAAGCTCTAGCAAGGAAGCATGAGAGAAGCTGCAAGCCTCTTACAAAGGATCCGAGCAAGTGAAGAAGGTTCGTCTCCAAACATTAAGAGGTGAATTCGAATATTTACACATGAAAGCATCTGAGTTTATTTCAGATTATTTCTCAAGAGTAGTAGTTGTTTCTAATCAATTAAAAAGAAATGGTGAAAAGTTAGAAGATGTGAGGATAATAGAGAAGATACTCCGTTCGTTGGATCCCAAATTTGAGCACATCGTCGTGACGATTGAAGAAACTAAAGACTTGGAAGAAATGACGATCGAGCAACTCCAAGGATCATTACAAGAATACGAAGAGAAGCGTAAGAAGAAGCATGATTTTACTGAGCAACTCCTCAAGCTGCAACTCAAGGATATGCATGAAAGCCAACGCAATTATAGAAACCAACGTGGCCAAGGCAGAGGTAGAGGTCATGGACGAGGTGGAAGTCGAGGTCATGGATGAGGCTGGAATTACAACAACAACAATTCCAACAACAACTATTAGAAAGGAGAAAGCTCAACACGAGGCCGTGGAAGAATCAATCCGAACTCAAGACATGATAAATCTCAAGTTCGATGTTATAATTGTCAAAAGTTTGGGCATTATGCTTCAGAATGTAGAGCTCCCAACAACAAAATTGAGGAGAAGGCCAATTACATGAAGGAAAAGACAGATGAAAAAGAAACTCTTCTTCTTGCACGAAAGGAAACTGATGGTGGCCAAGCAAATTCCTGGTATCTTGACAGTGGTGCAAGCAATCATATGTGTGGAAGGAAAGACATGTTTGTGGAGCTAGACGAGTCAGTAAGCGGAAATGTTTCATTTGGTGATGATTCCACAATAGCAGTGAAAGGGAAAGGTAATATTCTTATCGTTTGAAAGATGGGAGACATCAATTTATTTCAAATGTCTACTATATGCCCAATATGAAAAGTAACATCTTAAGTTTAGGGCAACTGGTAGAGAAAAGTTATGATATTCATATGAATAATTATAATCTTTCTATAAAAGATGATAAGAATAACTTCATTGCTAAAGTGCCGATGTCAAAGAATAGAATGTTCTTGATCAACATACAAAATGATGTTGCAAAGTGCCTGAAAGCTTGCTACAAAGATGCATCATGTCTTTGGCATCTTCGATTTGGGCATCTCAATTTTGGAGGTCTAGAGCTGTTATCTAAGAAGGAGATGGTGAAGGGACTACCTCGCATCAACCATCCTGACCAGCTTTGTGAAGGGTGTCTAGTCGGGAAACAATTCAGGAAAAGCTTTCCAAAGGAGTCAGAGACAAGAGCCAAGAAGCCACTTGAGCTTATCCATACCGATGTGTATGGACTGATTAAGCCAAGCTCTCTCGGTAATAGTAACTACTTCCTTCTCTTCATTGATGATTTTTCAGGAAAAACCTGGGTATATTTCTTGAAACAGAAGTCATAAGTTTTTGAAGTCTTCAAGAAGTTCAAAGCAGCAGTGGAGAGAGAAAGCGGTAGAAAGATCAAAGCCATGAGATCTGATCGAGGTGGAGAATTTACTTCTAGTGAGTTTCAAGAGTTCTGTGAAGCAAATGAAATTCGTTGACCAATGACAGTTCCTAGATCCCCCAGTAAAATGGTGTGGCAGAAAGAAAGAACAGAACAATCCTCAACATGGCACGAAGCATGCTCAAAAGAAAGAAACTACCCAAGGAATTTTGGGCAGAAGCAGTAGCGTGTGCAGTTTACTTGACAAACCGATCTCCAACAAGAAGTGTATGGGGAAAGACACCACAAGAAGCATAGAGTGGAAGAAAGCCTGACATTTCCCACTTGAGAACCTTTGAAAGTATAGCCCATGTTCATGTAACAGACGAGAGAATAACGAAGCTTGATGATAAAAGCGAGAGTTTTATTTTCATCGGCTATGATGCTAATTCTAAGGGCTATAAGTTGTACAATCCAAACAATAAGAAGTTTGTGATTAGTCGAGATGTGGTCTTCAACGAAGAAAGAGAATAGGATTTTAAGTCTCATACAGATGACTTCAATTTCTTTCATCAGTTTGAAGAAGATGAGCAGACAATGAAGGAACAACTAGATGAATCTCAACAAGAGCTTGCAACTCCACCCACTTCACCAACATCAACCACTCAAGGAGACTCATCACCTTCGTCGTCGTCAAGTGGGAGTCAAAGTGAAAGAGTTGTGCAACGCACAAGAAGCCTTAGAGATCTCTATGAGGTAACTGAACGACAAGATAATCTTACATTATTTTGTCTGTTTGCGATTGTGAACCAGTGAGCTTTCAAGAAGCGGTACAAGAAAAGAAATGGAGAGATGCAATGGACGAAGAAATCAAGGCCATCGAGAAAAATGACACATGGGACCTTACCTCACTTCCCAATGGACATAAGGTGATAGGTGTCAAATGGGTGTACAAAACAAAGAAAAATGCCAAAGGAGAGATTGAAAGGTACAAGGCGAGGCTAGTTGCTAAAGGCTATAGTCAAAAGGCTGGAATTGACTATGATGAGGTATTTGCTCCTGCTGCTCGATTAGAGACTATCAGACTAATCATTTCTTTGGCAGCTTAAAACAAGTGGAAGATACAAAAGATGGATTTAAAGTCTGCCTTCATAAATGGAGTTCTTGAAGAGGAAGTTTACATTCAGCAACCATCAGACTATGAAGTCAAAGGGCACGAAGATAAGGTGTTGAAGTTGAAGAATGCTCTTTACGGGCTAAAACAAGCACCAAGGGCATGGAATAGCCAAACCGACAAGTACTTCCAAGAGAATGGCTTCAACAAATGTCCCTACGAGTATGCTTTATATATCAAGATCAAAGATGAAGATATTTTGATCGTGTGCCTCTACGTGGACGATTTGATCTTCACCGGAAGCAACCAAAGCATGTTTAATGAATTCAAAGATGTGATGATGAAAGAATTCGAGATGACAGATATGAGGCTCATGGCGTACTACCTTGGCATTGAAGTTAAGCAACAAAAGGATGGAATTTTCATTTTACAGGAAATCTATGCAAAGGAGATACTGAAGAAGTTCAAGATGGAGAACTGTAAGCCAATAAGCACACCGACAGAATACGGGATCAAGATGACCAAACATGAAGAAGACGAAAGTGTAGATCCAACATTCTTCAAAAGTTTGATAGGAAGTCTACGCTATCTAACTTGCACGAGACCCGATATTCTTCACGCAGTTGGATTGGTTAGTCGCTACATGGAATCTCTAACAACCACCCATTTTAAAGCCGCAAAGAAAATTATTCGCTATCTGAAAGGTACAATTGACTTTGGCTTGTTCTATTCAGTTTCTAATTATTACAAGCTTGTTGGATATAGTGACAGTGATTGGGGTGGAGACATAGATAATCGAAGGAGCACTATTGGATTCATATTTTTCATGGGAGATATTGCGTTCACATGGATGTCAAAGAAACAACTGATATTCATATTGTCCACTTGTGAAGCGGAATATGTTGCTGCTACCTCATGTGTTTGTCATGCAATTTGGCTTAGAAATCTATTGAAGGAGATAGGTTTGATACAAGAAGAGCCTACCAAGGTTTGTGTCGACAACAAATCAGCCATTGCCTTATCAAAGAATCCAGTATTCCATGATCGAAGCAAGCACATCGACATTTGCTACCACTATATAAGGGAGTGTGTTGCAAGAAACGATGTGGAAGTTGAATACGTGAAGTCACAAGATCAAGTTGCCGATATTTTTACCAAGCCACTGAAAAGTAAAGACTTCATAGATTAAGGAACTTACTAGGGGTCACAAGATCAAGTTTAAGGGGGGTGTTGGATCATAAACTTGATCCATTATGAGAGTCTAAACCCAAACTAAATTGATGCCATTGCTTACATCATTTAAGTAATGATGTCATTGCTTACATCAATTTAGTTAGGTGAGAGTTAGGTATTTGTTGAATTTGTAATGGTTTAAATTAGTTTATTTGTGTGGTGTAGGATTGTTCTTGAGTAGTATAAATACCCCTCCCTATTTTAGTTTTAAGCATCAAGAAAAATTAAGAGCTTCTAAGTGAGTGAAGAAGCAAAGTCTTATAAGAGTGAGTTGTAGTTCTTGGTTTTGAGTGAGAGTGCTCTTGTAATATTTGTTTGAGTTTCAATAAAAGTTGTTTGTGTGAGTGTTTCATTTCCAATAGCAACACCATTAATTGGCTTTCAATTGTTTTAGATTGATTATGTTAACTCAATGAGGGCTGCTCGACAATTTGCTTCAAGAGTTTCAGATTCTTTAAAGGTAAGATATCAATCGTAATTGCCCGTTTTAAATGATTTGATTCATATTTGTACTTCAGTAGAAAACCTGTTTTTTTTTTCTACGTAATTGGGTATCCTTATCTAGCCCTTCTTTTGCATGGTACAATTGTTACTCCTTATTGTACAACTTTATGGTCCTCATTAATTCTCTTACACCAGCATTGCATGGGAACTTATTTAGCTTCTCATGCAAGCAGTCACTTTTTCGGAATATATTTACAGATTTAGATGCATACCATTGACGTCATGATATGTGTTCGTTAACTGACATTTTCTGGTGCAGATGGAAATCTTCCCATATTCCGTGTTTTATATTTTCTTTGAGCAATACCTTGATATATGGAAGACGGCTCTCATCAACCTTGCAATTGCAATTGGTTAGTAATTTGCAGAAACCTACTCAAGTGTCATAAATTAGTACAAACATTTTCCCAGAACTTATTTTTTAGGCATTTCTGGTACACATTAACGATTCAAAAGTGATTACCAAAACCTAAGGGTAGATTGCAAGATATCTGCTGATGTTATTTAATTTTGATCTGCGTCTTTTGTGTTACCTGAATTTTACACATGTATTTGACTTGGTATTTAGCAGGCATTATTACAATGGCTTGTAATTTTGAAGTTATTTCTAACAGTATTGTTTTTCTTCTGTTTGATTGCTTTCAGGTGTTGTTTGTTTAGTTATTACATGCAGGTTAGCTTCCTAATTTGTTCCTTGATTTAAAGTCTTTATCGGTAGGGTTTTACCTGTATGCTAATCTCTTTGACATTCTCCCCCCAAATATAGTTTGTGGACCTCAGCTATCTTCATGCTGGTGTTGGCAATGATTCTCGTTCATCTCATGGTAATCTATTCTCTGACCGTCACCTTAATACTTCTTTCGTTTGAACTGGTTTTACTTTGGTTTTCTATTTGAGCATGTTATACCCTCTTACAAAGTTAAACTGTTCAGGGTGTGATGGCCATTCTCGGAATTCAACTCAATGCGGTCTCTGTTGTTAACGTTGTTATGTCAGTTGGCATTGCTGTTGAGTTCTGCGTGCATATAACACATGCATTTTCGGTTAGTATCGTTCAGCTTTTAGTTTAATCATATGGTTTATCCACCCCCATTTGCTGTGTGGATATTTACCATATTCATCATTATAATAGTCTAAGTTCCTCGTGCAGGTAAGCAGCGGGAATAGAGATGAAAGGGTAAAGGAAGCTCTGGGTACGATGGGAGCTTCTGTCTTCAGGTTCGTTTCCTTCTCTTATAAAGCACACCATCCACCGCCGCTCCTTTCCGTCTTTTACGTTGGGGGTGCGATAAATGAAGAAAGAAACACCATGTTTGAGCCATCTATTCGTTCTTTACCGTCGTTATCCGATGTAATTATTGCAGTGGAATCACTTTGACAAAGCTAGTAGGGGTGCTGGTTCTTTGCTTCTCAAAGACGGAAGTTTTTGTGGTACCTATTCCTTTACTGACTTTTTAATTATGGGACCATTCATTTTGTCCTGTAGATTTTTTAAATCTTTACCCTCATCTCTTGTGTTTTGTAGGTCTATTACTTCCAGATGTACCTTGCGTTGGTCCTTCTAGGTTTCTTACACGGGCTTGTAATTTTACATAATCTAGATTGATTATCGATATATTTATAGACTAAATATTAGAGTTGATATGAATTATGTTTAATATATGATATTACGTAATTCATGTAAGATATCATTTTATGTAAAATCAGTGTCTAAATTATATTGTGTTTCATTTAAACGCTTAAATTTTTTCCAGTCAATATAGGTGTCAAACGTGTCATTTAACGGCATAATTTAGCAACAGTAACGGTCCAGACACCTAAAAGTATAATGTTGAAAACGTTAAGAACCTGATTGACCGAAAAAAATTTAAGAGCGAAAATAGGAAAAAGAGTATAGTATAAGACTTTTGTACTTGTGTATATACCCATAATGTTTAAGAATAAAACACAATATTATTCGCTTCCTAAAATTTCTACATTACCATTACCAATATTCTTTTTGACATAGCAGCTTTTGCTGCCCTTGTCATTGCTAAAATATACAGCAGATCTCATTCTGAGAAGGAAGAAAATAACAAAGAGCACAAAGAGATTTCAAACTGTCTGCAGTCAGCAGCTATTGCAATGGTAACAGAAAAGTTGCTTTCATGGTATTCACAATGAACTCCTTCGGCAGACCACTGCATCCGAAAGCGTTTTCGTTACCGTCACTGAGGAGCATTAAGGTTTCTGCTCTTGGAAACATCAAAGAAATGTTACGGATACAAGCGAGACAAGAGCCAACTCCGAATCAGAGAGAGAATACGGTCGTATACATCGATGCACTCCTTCGTCAAGGACCGGTGCCCGAAAACTGGTCCAAATGATGATGAGAGGCATGCAATGAGAGTTTAATTGTGTTGCCCTGCGTCGATCCGCATACATCAATGCACTCCTCCAAATCTTCGTCACATGTTATTAACACCCACTCGGAATCATCATCCATGTACTTCAGATCAAATCTAGTTATATCATCCAAGTTAAACCGTTTTGTAATTTCTTGCAATAAATCTTTAAACCGCCATTTGCTCTGCATGCGGAACCGGATCTTCTCATCTCCATACGTGACCTTTACCCTTTGAGCTTCTAAATCTCGAGCGATTCGGCTAGGAGTCTTCGACATTGGTTGAAGACTATCAAGGTTAACCTGTTCTTTAAGAGATATAAGGCTCTGGGATCTTGGGAACAGCTTCGGTTCTTGATTTAAGGCATGCAACTCTACATCATTTTTCACCCTTTTCAGCTCACTGTTCCTAGAGCTGTCTCCTATTTTAAGCTCTTCATTACCAAACATGTTAAAGTTCAAAGGTTGATGTGTTCCACTCGAAAAGCATTGACTCGGACTCGAACTCGAACTCTGACTACATGAGGAGGAAGGCGAATTTGAAGTAGCAGCTTGGGACACAAAATTACCACCCTCGGGCTGTATGCTTATTTGCTTTGGCTTATCGGTCCATGGTGAGGTCCATAATGGATTGTTTCCTACCAATTTTGGATATGCCAACTCGGGAAAATTTGCATAGCAGTTACCAATATGAAAGGCACCAGAGGCACCTTGTACCGAGTCAATGACATGTTGGAGTTTCTGTAAGGAGTGTCCAACTTTCTTGATTTTTCGAGATGGCCAGCGTTTTATTCCATGTTGTCTACAGATTCGTTTCAAGGTTGTGGGACACACTGAAAATTGAAGGAAAACAAGAGAAGTCGTCAAATTACAAGGATACTTTCTGAAACACGTTCACCGAATAAACTTGAGCAACACGGAATAACACTTACCACCAAGGCCTTTTGCTGCATCTTTTAGGCTTCCAGCAAAATGCTGACGGAGAACTTGCAAAGTGATTGTTTTTTCTGCCTTGCTAAGCCTCTTCTCTCCTGTTTTTCCTGTAGCCATACTCGAAAAGCTAATCTCATTAAAAGCGGAATCTCCATATTCTACACTTTCACTTAAGCTAATAAGTTCTTGATGCAGCTTCATATCAGATAGTTTTTCATCTGATAATGCCCCCGGCTTTTCTTTTTCGAGTATCACGGCAGTGTCACAACTCTGTTGCACCTGAGTGAGGCAAGACAAACTTTCTCGAGAGAACTTCTGCGAACGGTGAGTGTACCGCTCTTTCAATAGCTCCTCTCTAATAGGTATGTTATCCGAAGGGGCTATAACTTCGCTAACTGCCAAATTGGTTTCTTCCTCTAGCTCCTTATCCGTCACAACCCGTAAGCTGTGACATACTTGTTGTATGATGATGGATAGCGAATTAAGCATCTTCCTTTGTCCCTCAGGATCTCTGCAATGCGTGGGTAAAAAGAACTCTAAGACAAAGTCCGCTTTGCCAGCGTGAATGCATCTGAAACGTATCGCAACAGCAGCATGCAACTTAAACATTATTGCATGGTGAGCAAGAGGATATTCGGTCTTCTTAAAGGAAGTTATGTCGGGCGAGAAGCACGGCTGGTTAGTCATGAATGCTCTCCGACAACACCCTGACCTTTTAACAAGTGATGCTCGGAGCAAGCCTCGTGAAAACCCCGGATATTAGGATCAGCAACGCAGCAAGCATCATCCACCGTAGACACGCAATGAACATAGTTCTCGGTCGAATGCCAACAACCCTCTTTCCCTTGCTGGATACAAGAAACCCAAGCCTGAGCTAGCGGTAATCTGTGCGTCTCACAGGCACACCTCAAAAGTTCTTTGATCTCGGGTAAGGCGGCTTGGTAGCAATTATTGTAAGCCTGATAAAACACAAATCTAACCCGTAAGTGCAAGAACAAGTTTAAAACTCTTAGCAATTAAATGTATTCCGTAAACTCGACAACTTACCTTTAAGCTTTGAGTAGTAGAAGCTATAGAACTCCTAAGGTTGACAGCCTGCATGCAAATAAAAACAGGATAAGGAGCATTTTCAGGACTTTGAACTGCATTCTCTAAAATGCAACTATAAGCACAAAGTTAATCACGGCTGCTTACAAAGACTACGAATGAGGCATTACGAAAAAAAGTAACATAAACAGATAGAAGTTTTCATTTCTTTCATTTACAGTCCTACCACCATCCTCCATTTTACTTTCATTTTCATCATACAAAGGAACACGACGGGACGGGACGGGTCAGATTAAGTTGAATTTTTAGTTATTTGAATGTGACCCAAAAATTAAAATTTCTTTATTTACATTCTGTCTAATCTTGATATAAAAAGATTTTATCTGATTTAAAATTTGACGTGATTTTTAAATTCAAACCCGTATTCAATCGAATTGAATTGACTTAATATATATATAATTATTTTATTAAATAAAATAATAATTTAATTAAAAATATATAAATAAATATTATTTAATTATCTTTGAATACATAAAGTATTATTATAATATTATATCAAACCAAGTTTATTTAATAATAAATTTAAACTCAACCTTATCCAACTATGTTTTAAAAAAATCAATCCGATAATATTTAAATTTAAAACAACCGAATCCAATCAAAATTCATCAAATCAAGATAGAAAATTATTAGTTATTCACAAACATTAACATTAAAACATCATGTTCCTTCCTTTTCATTTTTCAGTCATGTTTCTTCTCACAACTATTTTTGTATTCCCCAAAATTAAATTATTAGTGTAATTGTATGGCACGAGAATTTAATTTAAGGTTAAAAATGACGGAAATAAACGTAATAAAAAATATAACAAAAAGTATAATATTTATGTTGAACGTGCTAGAGGTAAGAAAAGATAGGCAACACCATAGATTTTATTGATCAAAACCTGTAATATTCTCAAAGAGAACTGGGTTAATATACAAGGAGAAACATCCATAGATCAACTAACAGAGACCTAAAACCATAACAGCTCTAATCAATCCAACCACATACAGAATGTTGTTGTAGTACAACCAAAGCCTAACCATCTAGCTGCACTCAGTAGAACACTATTATTACATTCATCCTATTTTCTAGGTTTTCAAAACCTTCTATAAACTTGCACACAAAAGAAACACAAGACAAACCGTCAAAAGACAATTAAACATACTTGCTAGCATCTGGGATAGGCAAAACCCTTATTCTGTTCCGAAGACGAGCAAAAAAACCCAGACAAAGGCTTAGTCAAGATGTCAGCAACCTGCTCACATGCAAGGACTTCATTAACCAAAAGTTGTCCAGAAGCAACCCTCTCTCGAACAAAAATAAGTCAATCTCCACATGTTTAAACTTGGAGTGCATCACCGGGTTAAAAGAGACTGCTACAGAGCTAGTATTATCACACCACCAAAAAGACTTCACAGTCGGAACTGCTTGCAATTCTTGTAGTAGAGACTCAAGCCAGATGACTTCAGTAACAGCACATGCTACACTCCGATACTCAGCCTTAGTAGTGGACCGAGAAATAACTTGTTGTTTCGTGACGCCCAAGACATAGGGTTATTGCCAAGGAATATACAATACCCAGAGGTGATCGTCTATCATCAACGTCAAAATCCCAGTTAGCATCTGCAAAACCAATAATAGACAATCGAGAAGCATTAGTAAACTCATGTCATAATCCAACGTACCTTGAAGATACCTCAATATTCTCTTGACAGCGACAATGTTCATCTAGAGGAGATTGTAAAAATTGACAAACTCGATTCACAGTAAAGTAATGTCAGGCCTAGTGATAATACATACTGCAAAGCACTCACAATTCTACGATATTCAGTTAGATTTAGAAGATTCCTTATGCGCATAAAGTTTACAACTCGACACCATAGGAGTGGGTAAACTTCGAGCTCTGTCAAGACCGCACATGCATAAAAGTTCCTTGATGTAATTGTGTTGATACAAAAAACCCATTCTTTGTATAAGTAACCTGAATCCCTAAAAAATAAATCAATTTACCAAAATCTTTCAAAGAAAACGTTTGTTTAAGTCAGAAATCTATCAACTTCAGTTCCAGAGTTACATGTGACAATAATATCATCCATACACCAAAAGATAGATGAGTTGACCCTCTACTTCTTGACAAACAAAGAGGTATCAGATTTGATAAAAAAACCAACAGATAAAAAAATCTCTTAATTTCTCAAACCAAGCTCTAGGAACTTGTTTTA